GCACAAATTTTTGTGCACTGGGCCTCTAGTATATATAGAAAATCATAAGGAATCTACAAAAAAGCTACTAGAACTAATAAGTGAATTTATCAAGGATACAGAATACAAAGAGAAGTGTAGAGTAGGATCCCTGCTTCCTTTTCCTTGTTCTCTACATGAATCTAAAAGCTCTTTCACCTCTGTATTTTTAAGAATAGTCTCTTCTGGAGCTATGCTGTGACCCTGAAAAATCCCTGTATTTGGAAAAGGCTAAATATCTGAAAATAGGTTCCAGAGGCCAACCAACCCACATAAACTAAACAACCAAGTCCCTACACCCTCTGCATGGTTCTTCAGCAGCTCCACTCTGACCACTATCACCACAGTTACTAGAACCAGAAAGGTATAATAAGCTCTGTCAAACCCATGTGAGGCTTTCAACACCACTGTGGGGACAGGTCACCTACCAAGGTCATCTGTAAGTGGCCTACGTGCCTGTTACCCACTGTTCCTTTCCACTGCATGTTTCAGCCAGTTTCAAATGCCTACTGCTCTCTCCCAGTCCCAGGACATCTCCTTTGTAACTCAGACTCCTGGGTTTAAATTGCACACCCTTTAAAGCACATTATTTGACCTCTCAGACCTGTTTCTTCATCTGTAAAGAGTGATGATAATTGTCCCAGTCTGACCAGATCACCACGAGGATGCAGGTGATGAAGCAGGTAAAGCAATTAGCATGTCTGGCATGTAGCAAGCACCCAATAACCCTTATAGGCCTCTGGCCCTTTGCTTACACTGTTCCTTCTATATGTAACACTCTTCCACCTGAGTAACCCCATCCTTCCCTTTACAGCTCAGCTCTGCTCAGACAACTCCTCCAGAAGGCTCTGCCTAAGAGAAGCCCCAGCTCTAGGCCTGCCCAGGCACAAGTACTTTGTGGCACCAAGTGTCCTGCTCTGCCATCATCTGTCTCTCAACCCTACCCCTCACCTGCCCCAAAACACATAACCAACTGTGAGCCTCCCAAGGGGTGGTCTGACCATCTTCCCATCTCAGAAAACAGCAGCATTATTTACCCATTACTCAGCTACTAACCCTGGAGTCATCCTTGACTGCTGCCATTCTCTCAACCTCACATCCAGCCCGACAGAAAACCCTAATGGCTACACGAGAACACATCCAGAATCTGACCACTTCTCACCCAGATGGAGCCTGCGTGGCTTCCCATTTCTACCTGACCCCCTGCCAAACCCTCTCTTCATAGCATTGAGGGATCAGGTCATGTCACTCCCTTACTCAGAACCCGCCCTGTCACACTTAAATCCAAAGTCCTCACCCTGGGAACGCTCCACAAGGCTTAGCCAATGCCACATCCTGGCCTGCAGAGACCTCTGGGGTCAAGCACCATGTTCTCCCAGGTGTTCTGATGACAATGCCAGGAGTGGGGAGGGCGAGGGGTGGAGGGGGGTTCTCAGTGGTGAGAGGGGTCAGATTAGGAGCTGTGTGTGGGAGGTAGACCTAGCAGGATCCTCCTGAACTTCCTCTGCTGAAGTCTCTGAGAAGCTGATAGCCTTGAGGAGGATGCTGAACCTTGGACCCTCCACTGTCTGAGCCTGAGGGCAGGAACCATGAGTTAACAGCCCTGACTCCCAGGAGGTGCCAACGGACAGAATGGACAGAGGTGAGCCCCTCAGTAGCAGGAAGCATGTCTTGCTAATCAATCACCTTTACAGTGTCCAACACAGAACAGACACATAGTAGGACAGCAGGAAGACAAGGGGGTGATACTGTTGGGCCTGGCCCTGACTTCTGGAACAGTCGTGTGACCTCCACAAAGTCTTCAGTGCTCCTTCACAGACCAAAGTTTTGGGCCTGACTTGGGCCCTGCCATGGCTCACCTCTGGCCTAGAACACTATCAGGTATGCCAGAGGGACTCTAGAGAAAGGAAGGGGGGCTTTCTCCCTCCCCCTACAGACCATGAGTAGGGTTCTTGGAAGCTCACAGACCTTCCTCCTCTGTCCACACACAGGCTCAGAGACCCTGCAGAATTGCCTTCCCAGAGGTACATCTATCTAGACCTTGAGCCAAAGAAAAGCTGGTCCTGATATTACTCACTCGGTCAACAGTTAACTACCATTGTATATGACAAGATGCAACATGTAAACATAAAACACACAGTCTCTTATTAAATCTGGATTCCCTAGATTTTAAGTGTGTTTTCAAACTTAAAAGAACATAAGAAGCATGGGGGGGGGGGGTGTTGTGAAGGGAGCAGATTTCTGACCTCGGAGCCCAATAGTCCAATTTGGTAGGTCTGAGGTGGGGCTCAAGGGTCTGCACTGTCAAGAAGCTCCGATAGTTCCTGTTCACTCAAGTCTGAGAAGCACTGCTCTAGGACGTCACTCGGGCCCCAAAGCTGCGGTGTCAAACATTTTTTGACCACAAACCACAGTATGAAATTTTACACTATGAGCCAGGACACAAACAAAAGTTTGATGAAGCAATATTTTCCCCAACCCCAGTGATACACTCTCAAGTTTTCTGCTGTATTTCATTTCACTCACTGGTCCAGATCCACTACATCAATAGATTACAGGGCCCTGGGTTTTGACCCTGGCTGCACATCATGATCACCTGGGGACAAAGCAATAAATAAAAAAGACATGTATCCATATGTTCATTGCAGCATTATTTACAATCACCAAGATAGTCACGCAACCTAAGTGCCCATGAATAGATGAGTGGATAAAGAAGAAGTGGTGCATATATACCATGAAATAAGATTTGACCATAACAATTTAAAAAAGAATGAAATCTTGCCACTTGCAACAACATGGATAGACCTAGAGGATATTGTGCTGAGAGAAATAAGTCAGATAAAGACAAATGCAATATGTGGTATCCAAAAAACAAGTAAACAAACAGCAGACCAGAAGGGGAAAAAATCACCTGGAGAGCTTTTACAGATTCCAGGGCCCAGGCCATACCCATGACCAATTAAGTCAGAAACTCTGGGGGTGGGTGCAGGCATCAGCAGTTTATAAAGTTCCCCCAGGTGATTTCAAAGTGCAACCAAGGTCCAGATCAGTGGTTTTCAAAGTGTGGTCCCCAGGCCCGCAGCAGCAGCCTCATCACCTGTTGGAGAGGCTAATTCTCAGGCCTTGCCCCAGACCGTCTGCATCAGCGCTGGGTATGGGGGCCAGTTTTTTGTTCTAATAAGCCCACCAGGTGACTCTGCGGCCCACACAATTTGAGACCCTCTCGTCAATAACAACGGAACTAAAATGATTTCTTGGCCTACAAGACTCATGGTTTCCAGTTTGACAAACTGTCCAAAAGGAAGCCCCAGATGAGGGATTACAAGGTAATACAAGGGAAACCTTTGCTTTTCTTGCAGAATTGGCAAGTCTCCCTTTTCTGATACTGAGAGCTGCATTCTGATCTACCCCCGTGGTGTTGGCTGTGGGGAAGCTCCGAGTCTAATCTAACCTTAACCCCAGTAACCATGTGGATCCTTATCTGCTTTCTCCTGTCCTAGTATTTCTCAGATACTTCCCTTGTATATGTGCCTTCTTAGGAAAGGCGTAGAGTGACCATAAGGGCTGGTCAGTATGCTCTTGGCATTAAACCAGGCCAGAGAAGTGGGGGGGTCAGGAGCTGAGCACAAAGCACTTCCTGTGGCTTTCAGTGCTCACTGGAGCCCTGTCTACAAGCCCCTGACCCAAGTCAACACCATCGCTGTGGTTTCCTGTTTGCAGCTGCTGCACTCGGACCCAGCCCCCATCCCAGCAACCTATAGGTGTGTGTAAGGGTGGAATACTCATGCTGCCTGGAAAATAGCCAGAGGGGCTGGGGAGAGGTCAAATCTGAGAGCTCCCCGAGAAAGGGGAGGAGAGGCAAGGATTCGCTGGAGGGGCTCTCCCAGGAGGGAGACTAAGTAACAAAGAACCCTGACAGCCCATCATAGCTGTTGCAAATTAGGGCAAGGGCTGGAGGCTGGTCCTCACTTGTGAATATCTCCTCCCTACCCCACCACTGTGCTTGTAGTTCCACCATTATTGTCACATGTGGGCCTTTCCTGGGTGTCTAAAGTGAGGTGAACTCTGGCTGGGTTTGAATCCCAGCTCTGCACTTCTTAGCTGTGTCTCCCTAGGCAAATCGTTTCTCTTCTCTAGGCCTTAGTTTCCTCTCTGTAAAATGGGTACAATGGAAGAACAACCCCCACAGGATTGTTTGAGGGCACTGAAAGGGCCTGAACACAAACGTGGCTGCTGCCACTCCTTCAACGTCCCTCTCTGCCTCTGCCGAAAGGGACTCAGGTCAGCAGCTCAGAGGGAGGAAGGGGCATCAGAGAGAGGCTCCATCAGCTTCATGTTTTGTTTGCAAAGGCCCTGTACCTGAGGTGGGAGAAGTCTCACATTAATGTGCAATGTGACATGTCCCTATGCCTCCTTAGGCCTCTTTCCCCATCTGAACAGCAGAGAAAGGAAGGTCATGAGATGGCTTCCAATGGGTTTTCTGGCTCTGACTGGCTGGTGCCCCAAAGCACGGAGACTTTGTTAACTTGTCAACATTTTGCTAAGAGATAGGATCATGTCTGGTGTCTTGGGGAGGGAGAAATCATTGCTGGTCAGGGAAGGATGTTTTGTTGGATTCCCTACTGAGGGCCATTTACATCCTGTTAGAAATGCAGGTTAGTGCTCAACTGCTAATGGGCTCTCACTGCAGCAACATGGCAGCCAGTTAGCCAGGCTGCCTGACTCCAGCCCTTGGCACTTCACCTCTGACCTCTGCCCCCAAGTCAAGCCCCAGGAGGGCTTACCCACCTCTCCTGGTCTGGCTCTCCCGAATGAGGAAGGCCCCTCCAGGGTTTCCAGGCAGCAACAGCAATTCCTCAGCTTTCTCCCGGCTCAGGCCCTCATACAGCCACCTGGGGAAGAAGCAGACGGGAGTCAGCCTGGGGGTGGCCCCCCAGCTTTGTCCTCCTGGTCCTGGCTCCAGGGCCTCTGAGGACACCCTCCTGGGGTCAGCCCCAGCCTTTTCTGCCTGGAGATCTCATTCCCAAGAGCCCAGGGAGCTGGGAGCAAGTTGGGAGATCCTGGCCCCTCTTCTACCACTGCCCAGTCTCCTACCATCACTATGCTACTCACCTTTCCAAGAATTGTTCGTTGTATTTTGTTTTAAAATTTTAGAAAGTATTTTATTTGGGCATTTTAAAGATTAACTTTGTAGCCCAAGGTATGTAGGCGAACCTTTTTTCATTACCACAAAAATATAACTCGAAACAAAGCTATTTTGTGGACAGACAAGCTGGAATTCAAATGTTCAAGACGCCTAAAATTTTGGAAAATATCATGCAGCCCACTGGTCACCATATGTGCCTCTCAAAGCTCAGCCCTTCTACCACCCTGCTCCCCGACGCCTCTTTCCATGCTGGGATTTTGATTACTCTGAGCCCATATTTTTCTTCCTCTTTTCCCTTAATCCCTCACCTATATATCTATATGGACTTCACTGTAATGGGAAGTTCTGCAGGAATTTTCTGGTCCTAAGTCATCAGCCTCCTAAGTCATGCCCTGTGACCCCAGGCAAAGCCTACAGAAGCTGATTCGATGGAAGTGCTGTCTCTGTGTCATTTTGTGAAATTCCATAGTCAAAGCCAGAGTCAGGGTTGAGATGATTCCAAGTAAATAGATTAGAGAAGCTGTGTCTCACTTGGTGCCAGCAGCAAACTTAGACTCGTTTTATAGTAAATGAAAGTCTTGTTGACTTAACAAAATTTGTCATGTCTTATGAAAACTGAAGATGTAAATGAAAGAGTGGCAAGGGAAGGGCACTTCTAGAGAGAGCCAGTGTCCCTTAGCTTAAACTTAGTGCCATGCTGTGGATGTAAAACCTCCAACCGGTAGGCCCAGACATCAGGACACACATGGCAAGGTGGGTTCACCTGGCTTGCCGACAACTCTGAGAGCTGACCCCATGAGGTGTCCACACGTCCCAGGATCCCTGTGTTACTCTCATCAGAGCCAGACACACCGTGAGCCCCAGAACAGGAAGACCCTGCAGTGCTACAGCCCTACTTTCTCTCAGAGCTGCGGAGTGGAGGTCACAGCTTGCACTTGCACAGGGACACGTTCCTGACCCGGTGTTGTTCAGGCAGGTCCCACCGAAAGGCACTGCACTTCCTCTCTCTCCAGGCCCGGGATTGGCTCTGGAGTCAGTTCCTTTTGTCACTGGCTTTTGGCAGAGAGCTGGCAGTGCTCTGTAGAGACCCTGTGTCCCAGGTCTGGCCCTCCCTCAGAAGCCCTTGTTTTCTTGCCTTGGGACATTTATTCAGGCTGCTCCATTTCCTGCAAGTCCCCTTTGGCATTCTCTACTAGTACCACCACATTGCCTGCAAACCACCTCCTCTGGGCTCCCAAGTCCTGCAGGCCTGTCTGCTCCTGAGGGCAGAGTCTGGGCCTGATTCTCCCCTGTCCCCAGCTTTGCTCAGCACAGGACTGGACATCAAGGACTATGCTTGTGGGAAGTGAAAGCAGGAAGGTCCCCTAAAGCAGGGCCTGGAGTGGAAACTCACCCATGGGAGATTTTGGCCACATGGATGCTAGGAACGCTGTACTCTCTGCCGGAGCCCTCTGACAGCACCGTCCACCAGTCTCCGTCTCTGCAGAGAGAAAGGAGGGAGACCCTCTCAGAAGGCTCTTGGAACTGCTCATTTGAGATTTATGAGGCCCTACCAGGCTGGATCCCACCTGAGTTTCCCAGGTTTCCTTACACCAACTAACCCAGGTACCCCCTGGGCAGTAAATGGCATGATGCAGGACCCCTGTATGCCTGTCCACCCACTGCTTCTCCCTGTAGGTGTGTCATGCTGCCTGAAATCCCAACATCAGGACTGCATGGGAGCTTGGCACCAAAGGCCATGCTCTTTTCTCCTGGAGGGAATAGCCCTTCCTCCCATCAGTGCATCTTCAGGTATCAGGGGGAGGGAGATCATCCCACACAATGCCCTTGGAACGACT